ATCTCATTGGACTCTACTTATCGGCAAAATATCGGCTTAAAAGCTTTGAATCACTTCGAACGGTTCCCTCGTTAGTTATACCATTGTATTGGTCTAGATATACCCGCATAAGTTAATACTAAAGACGATAATCTTAGATTCATTTTGACTTGTTCGGTTGAAGGAGGTCTATTTAAAAAAGATAACTAAATTTTACAAAAAACATGATCAAGCCTTTCTCGAACGATAAAATCAGACTCGAGATTCTCGACAAATCTCCTATAGATTTAGATTCCCGGACTCCAAAATCCTACAGTCTATTTTTATAAAACACAACTATTTTCTTAAAACTAACATAGTTTTATCATGCATTCATCACTCATGTCGTCGCGATGAACATCTCTAGTATATACGTACCTATTTAGACCGGCACACCGCTGTTATCATTATATCCTTATTCGTGACACTATTTTTTTTTTCATATTGTTCTGAGTCTTGTTTTTTTTCCATCGAGCTCTAGGCAACATATATAAAATAACTCTCTGAATTTTATTATCATGTATACTACGAGAGTACAATTGAAAATTAGAACCATCTAAAATTCTTCAAGTTCTCTTAGCAATTTAATTTATTTGTTTCTTTCTTGACTGAATAAAAGAAATTTTTTGTTAAATTCGATTTTGTTTTTCTTCTAAGGATTTTGTATGGTTATCAATGCCTCATTGTCTTATACTTGGTATTAATATTCCATCATTATGGCGTGCATCAACAAGTGCCTTAATAAAAAAAATCAATGATCTATGTTTTTCATTACCAACACAACGATTAATATCAAATGAAATAAATTTAAATGATGATGAATCAACACCAGATATAATTTATATAAAAAGTCTTTTATCATGTTATAATAATCAACCATATTTAATTGCATTAATAGATTCCATATCAATTTATTTTGATACAATACAAAATAATGTTGAATTAACATGTCAATTTTCATCAGGTGATATACGTGATTTATTACGTTTTATAATATTTATATCGGAAATAATTTATTTAAATATATTTCAAAAAAAATCTTTTCTTACTTGGAATTTAATTGAAAGTTTTTTTCGTTGTTTAACAAAAACAATACATAATCCAACATCAATTATATATCAATTATTAAGTGCAACAGATCAAATAATATCATGTTGTACATTATCAAAAACTATTCTATCTATATTTGAATATCTTTATCAACGACATGGTATAATTATATCAAATAAACAAACAAATCAATTATTACCATCATATTTAAATTTAATTGAACCAGATAATCGACCATTGACACAATTATTATTATTATCATTTAATGATCTTGATCGTCTTTATTATTTAACAAAAAAAATTAAATCTATACCATATTTTTATCGACATGATTTACGTCGTATAGCTATATTATTATTTCGTTTACCAATATTTAATTCATTTATACGTATACCAAGACAATTTTGGGAACAACATTATCAAGATATAAATAAATTACAATTTGGTATAAATGATTATTGTTTATCATCATTTCCTGTTGATTTATTACAACGTTCAGATATAATGGCTGATTATATTGAACGTATATCGTTTGTTGGTTGGTTATCAAGAACACAATTTCAAGAGATATGGGTTTCATTTTTAGCTTCAATTAATCCACCAAATCAAAATAATGATACCAATGAACAAACAACAAATAATTTAAAAAAAGAAGAGATTTTAGAAACTAATGCAACACAATGGTAAAAAAATGTCTTATTTATTCCTTCTTTTGATAAAAGAAGAGATAAAACAATGTATCAATCATTTCAGGGAAAACAGATCATACTCATCTTTCATTTGAGTTTGATGTTTAACAAAGATTATTTTAGTCAATAAGATCTTTTAGTATAGACATATGTAAAAATGTTGGAGCTTTCGGTTGACTTACAATTAAAAAGTAGTTAACGAATATCATTTTAATCATGAAAGCAACAAATCTAAAAACTTTAAGATAGAGTTTATAGTACGACCTGCATCTATGATGAAATTTTCGTCATGATCGGAATTAAAAACTCGATTTTCTAGAGATTTTGAACTTCTCATTAGGTTATAAAAGCATTTGTTCATAGTCCATCACATCGCTAACGAAAAATAAATCAATTTTTGTTGATGAGTTGGCTACACATTGTACTATTTACTTATCAAAAGTGCTATCTTAATTCGGAGGTTTTTTAAACTAAAATACCTGAAATATGAAAGTCTATTATCTCTAACTTTAGTATTTTTACTAATATTTCGTTCAAATGAAAGTCTCTAGTACTGTTTTTTTTTAATTTTAATTGTTGCAGAAAAGCGTTTGTTAGTAATTTTAGTTTTAAAAATTGTCGATGGATATTCTCACATTTCATACACATCATGTTTTTGAATAATCAGCTAAACTTGAATGAGTGAATATTTATTTACTTGTACATGAGTAGATAGTTGTTAGTTAGTATCTTATTCAGGATGTGTCATCACGAATGTTTTCAGTCTCGAATAGAAACTTTTTAATAAACAATATTTCTATTATATTAAAATAATATATTGATTTTGTTTTTATTCTTTTCTTCATAGTGTATGGATACGTGGTGTAACAACATTTTTATTAAATGCTCTTCGATTGAATTGTACAGGAAATCCAGCTGATATGACATTTGAACATCGATGTCGAAATAAATCTATTCCATTTTTATTAACTGATATCGGTAGTCAATATATGCAAACACGTTCAACATTAGAAACAAGTTCAAGTCATTTATTTATAAATCTTGAACGATTAGGTACACATGATTTATTATCCTATGGACAACTTTCATATGATACTATATTAACATCAATTCAAAGTAATAATACATTACCATTGCCAGTAAATGTAAGTTAATATATGTTTTTTAATTATTGAGAAATTATAAAATGAGTAGAACTTGTATTTTTGCTCAGTATTGAATATTAAACAGAAATGCGAAACGGAAAAAAAAAGTCGAAATAGTTTTTCTTCATTTGAATCCAATTTACAAATGTTCGATTGAATTTAAACTTTATTATATAGGAGAAGTTTAGATTAAAACAAAGATAAATTTATGAAAATATCCTTGTGAAATATAATAGATAAAAAATTATATCAATAACATCGAATATATTATAAATATTTTCTTTATTATAAAAATGAATTTCTATCAATTGAAAATTTATTTAACCCTTTGAGGCCCAGTGGGATATATATTTCCCACCTTGAGAATTTTGAAATCTTGGAGAAATATTTTCAATATATGTTAGAAGCTAGCAGATGTCCGTACAAGATTGATTGGATAATAGAGTGTATAAATGACATTGAAAAACGCACCTTGCGAAGTTTTGACCCCGGGGGGGGGGGCAGGACCCNGTATATAATCTTGATTCAAAAAACGATTCAACAGTTAGTAGAATTCATTCATTAAATAAAATCATTACTGTCGAGTAGTATATTAAACTCATCTCAGACCAATCAAGTGCTTCTTGAGATAAAGACAAAGATAATAAAATTTATTTGTGTATTCATCCGTTTAAATTCACTTTGAAGATCTTTTAACATAGTCAATGTTTAAAGAATATTAACAAGCTTAACATATGTATTTATATTTTTTTAAACCATTTTTTGTTGTTTAATATTAATAAATGAAATTTTGATACTTATTAAAAAGAGAATATTATATCCATTATTCTTTTTTAGGCAAAAATTATATTTGATATGTATAAAGTTAACAAAAAGAAAATAAACTACCAAGAAAATAAGAATAATATTATGCGTATATTAGAACACAATCTAGCAATACACAAATAGACAAATGTTCATTATGATGATACATTATAAGTATCTAACTTGTGTGTATGTAAGGGTATCAATAGGTCTATATACTTCCTATAAATATTGTTTTTGGTTTACAAAAACGGCCAACACCATTATTGATTGATATTGCTCGAATAGCAAATGCATAATGACAATTACATTGAAAGTACTCTACAGTAGTTCTCATTGGACGAGGCATTGATTTAACTGTCTCAAACTAAAAAAAGAAAAGAAACAACAAATTCATTTTAACTTTTCATAATAATTATTATCCATACTTTTTTCCAACCAGATAACGCTGTTGTTAAACTTTGTTGATATGTATAAATTTCATACTCTTTTATAGATTCCATTGATGTTGAAGGTAAATTCCAAATTAATTGAATCATTGTATCCTTATGTTTTATAAGTAATTGAGGTCGAGTTATGCTATTGTCACATGGATTATGTTCAGGTAATGAAGGTAAAATAATTGTCTGAAATAATAATATTCAATCGATAAAATAGGTTTAGACTTAGACTCGAGACTTTCGATTAAATAAAAATTAAATTATATCATAGATAGGATAAACTTCTATTATTTACCTGTCCAAGTGGAATAGTAGTATTTGGACAAATTGATCGATTTGTAGGCTCTACAAGAGTTAATATATTATCTGAAATGTTTAATATTAATGAAAACATACGAATAGACATGACTGTTGACGATAGTGTAGATATTGAACTTTGTTCCTAAGAAAAATATTCATAATTATATAATAATGGACAGAATAATATACTAACTGATTTGATTGACGTCATTTTTTTTGTGTATGTTTTATTTGTAGTATCATCATATTTTTCTGTTAAATCAACAATATTATGACATGTTGGTCGAGTAGCAAATTCGAGAGATCGTGAAGGATGAGAATTAGTTGTTGGAATTGATGTCATTTTTTTAATAGTTGATATTGTTGCTGGACTAGTTGTTTTTGAACAACTTATGACTTGCTGTAATGATGGAACTATTGTTTGAATTGGAGCAAGAAAACTGACAGTTTTACGACTTGGATTTGTTGCTGATAAAACTTTTGAAGTTGGTGCAGAATTCACTCCATTAACCTATTTTAAATACAAAATTAAATATTTTATTTAAATAAAAACATAAAAAAAACGTAGGTGAAGTTAGCTCCATATTCCAGTAAAACCTTCCCATATTCGTCCAGGAACGTGTTCCAAGTGTTCCAGCCCGGTTCCAAGTAGAACTGAACGAGCTCTATCTAATGGTAACCTTGGACTGTCCAAAAGCCAAACCAATCGTGAGAAAATCCCAAAATAGTACCTTTTCACTACGTGTATGGTCACTAAAACCTTCCCATATTCGTCCAGGAACGTGTTCCAAGTGTTCCAACAGGGTTCCAAGTAGAACTGAACGAGCTCTATCTAATGGTAACCTTGGATTTTCCATAGCCCAAACCAATCCTGAGAAAAATCCAAAATACTGCTCTTTTTCTATGTGAAAAGGCAAACCTACATACTAAAACCTTCCCATATTCGCCCAAGAGCGTGTTCCAAGTGCTCCAGGGTGGCTCCAAGTACAACTGGATGACTTCTATCATTTCGTGTATACGGATCGTTCACGGTCCATACGCTTTCTCCAGAAATCGTGAAATAATGGTTTAACACCGTAAGACGTAGAGCTATCCAAACTAGTTGCTTTTTTGATTTTTCCTGTAAATCAGTTTCAGCTGTTTACTTCATTTTTTAAGTATGAATCCACGAACCCACCAATTGGTAAAAATTGATTTTTTTTTCGTGAAGACCCAGTCCTTCGACACATTTTATATAAAAGGTTTATGCGCACGAGTCTCATCTGCACTTACATTTATAAAAGGAGAAAACTGCTTACGAAAATTGTGCTAACAAAGTTGTTTCTTTTTTAGGGTGAGCACCGGGCTATTGAATGAGTTTCTGACATTTTATAAAATATTAGTACATAGAATATTCAGAAAACAGTCATTGTAGCTAACTGGAGGATGGGTGTGGGTGGTGTGAGTGTGGGTGGGTGGGTGTGGGTGTGGGTGTGGTTATTTTTTTCTTCAAACTGACNCTCAAGGAATAACAAATCATGTGAGATCATGCGCCAAAGAATGGTGTCAGAAGAATGGAATCAACAACTAGTATACAATGGAACGTCGAGAAAACGGAGGCTTAATGTTGGGATTAAAATGATAGATACCATCGAAACCAAGTCTGTCATAGCTTGGAGATAGTATCCTGATGATATATTCTCAACATTAAGACCTCCGACGAACGAATGGACAACTCACCGAACGAACAATTTCGCATTCTATTGAATGCATTACACCACTAACTCTCCTTATTTTCCTCTCTTTTTTTTTTTTTTTTTTTTCTAATCTTTTTGTTTTTGTAATTGTCCCTACATTTTCTCCAATAATTGTAAATTTTTGATCTTCACTCAATACTGAAAGGTAAGGGTATAATAAACTAACAGAGGATGGGTGTGGGTGTAACTGCTCTCCAGACCCACACCCACACACACCCATCCACACCCACACTCACACCCACACCCACACCCACACCCACACCCACACCCACACCCACACCCACACCCACAACCACACCCACACCCCCCACCACACCCGCACCCACACCCACACCCACACCCACACCCACACTCACACCCACACCCACACCCACACCCACACCCACACCCACACCTTTTTTAATAGTGTTGAATTGTTTGTTCTTGAATACTATCAAAATAACTTTAACGTGATAGATGTTAGCCAATTTGGTAAAGTGACTCCGAGTATGCGTTGCTGTAAATAATTTTAATCGTTCGTAAAAGTATAGACCAATATACTATTCGTGTTATCGTGAAACAACGATGTGGGTGTGGGTACGGGGTGCGGGTGTGAATGTGGAGTGTGGCAGTGTGGCAGTGTATGTCTGGCTGGAGGTGCCGTTTTCAACCACACCTACAACCTCTAGTATTTGAAATCACACACACATTGAAAATGCACTATTTTGAGCAAGGAGAAAACGGCTGATTTAAATCATCTAAAATCCAGCATTAAATCATATAAAATCATTCTAAATCATGTGAAACAATGAGTTTTGATAATTTTAAATCAGTTATAAATCATTTTCAATCATTTTGAATTATATTAATTCACTAAATCACAAATCGCCTTTTCCCAATTGATTTTGAGACTTATTAACCAACGGTTTGGATTACAATTGATGCGAGGTTACCATTAGATAGAGCTCGTTCAGTTCTACTTGGAACCGGGCTGGAACACTTGGAACACGTTCTTGGACGAATATGGGAAGGTTTTATTATGTAGGTTTGCCTTTTCCCATAGAAAAAGAGCAGTATTTTGGATTTTTCTCAGGATTGGTTCGGGCTATGGAAAATCCAAGGTTACCATTTGATAGAGCTCGTCGAGTTCTACTTGGAACCGGGCTGGAACACTTGGAACACGTTCCTGGACGAATATGGGAAGGTTTTACTCGAATATAGAGCTAACTTCACCTACGTATAAAAAAATTATTTTGTATACATACGTAAAGATTTGATTTCATGTTTTTTTGTTGACTTAATACTGTTGTTGTTGTTGTTATTAAATCCGTTTGTGCTAGTGTTTGTGCCCCATGTTGATTTTCCAGGTCAAACAAGCACGGTCGTAAACGACCGTATACGGAGAAATACGACGATTTGCATGATCACGTATTACGATCGTATATCTCCGTGTCGTATACGGAGAAATACGGTGATATACGGAGAAAAATACGATCGTAAACTGAGATCGTATACGGCGTTCGTATACAATCTCCGTTTTGCTCCGTATTTCTACGTATATCGTCGTATTGCTCCGTATACGGTGACGATGATATACGATCGTAATACGTGACCATGTTATACGGCAAAATACGGTCGTATACGGAGAAAAACGGACCGTACACGACCGTTTACGACCGTTTACAGACTCCGTAAACCTCGACCTGGGTTGCTTCAATTGTTTCTTGTGCTCGATCAATTTGTTTATTAGTACTTTGTTGGGGTTTAAAACTTACTACTATTTTATTTTGACGTTTGAATATTGATAAAATATGATAATCATTTAATAAATTGTTTTGTTCTTCACCTGTTGTTGTTGTTATAAAATCTGTTTGTGTGTATGAATCATGCTGATTTGTTCGAATTGTTTGTTGTTCACGATCAATTTTATTTGTATTTTGTTCTTCAGAAAAACCCATTAATTCTTGATTTGTATGTAATGTTTGTAAAGCCTGGCCATTAATTAATGATTGTTCTTGATGAATTTGTTGTAAAGTTGATTTAACTGAAAGACGCTTATTATCAGAACTAGATGGTATATCATCCATTTTTTGCACATCTTCAGTTGACATAATTTTCTAAAACAAAATAAACATGAAAACAATGTTTCGTGAATTCGGAAAAATAAAGTTAACACAACTATTAGAACAGACTATGATGAGGACATTTCTTCTCTTTCTTTTCTGTCTTGTATGCATGTATTTCATCGATATATTCTTTCGTTCTATTTTTATGCGTCATTGAATGTATTCATTATATAAACTTGCTTTCTAGATATTTTAGAAACATATCGATATGCGTTCATAGAGTTTTCGTAGTGACAAATTTTATTATGGCTACTTTTAACGCTAGCTCTAACTATGATCAGTTGATCGATAGAAATACCACTTTTTGAATTCTCAAACGACTCACAAAATGTTTAATTCCAGCAAAATGTAAACATTTGTAGAGGAAGAGCAACATACGATAGATCTCAAGATTGATTACTCGATTTTTATCACAAATCGTGTTTTTTCGAAACTCGAATTTGCATGCTTCACAGTGCATTTCGTATTCGACTCGAACTCCCCGCTATCAATTTGTGTTTGTTCCCAATTCAATTGACATCACAAATTGAGGATTTTGAAGCGAAAATCTCGTTGTTCTTTTGAGATAATTTAACAGTAAAAGAAAAAATGATTCGATCGACTGTTCCTACCATCTTTTGAAGTTTTGGCCACATGTATATATAAATTTGTGACCTATTCTTTGTCACTTGTTTAAATATAAACTTAAATTAATATATCTACCTCTAAATTCAATTGATTTAGTTTAATTTTGAATTAGTAAAAGTTTTGAACATGTTTAAGAGGTTACATGGTGCTAACTATGTAAATGGTTGTTTTTTTAAAATCATTTTATATGTGATTCATTTATTTGTAAAATCCATACTTCTTTCATATTATCAGAAAGCATGTAGTAACGTTTTGAAGAAAACGAAACGAAAGAAAAATCACTTAGTATTTCGATTTTCTGTATTTCTTCGTTTAATACAAGAGCATCCATATCAATTAATAAAGGAGGTTATATCTCGAAAGGATTTTGCTCATTGGTGTCTTCAATAAGTAACTAGATACCATCACTATCATTGAAAAACTGTAATTGTATTTTGTTGAATCAAGCGATTGTAATATCAGTATAAAACTTGTTATGGGACAAAAAATACGATATCTCATTAAAAGTTTATTTATTTAAAAATGATTCAAACAAAATATGTATTGAGTAAGGTGAAAACGAAACGTAACGCTCATCTTAGAAGGACGGTCATTAAACGTATTAGTCGACAATAGCGGATTTTACTTTTGGTAATGGGTGCTATTCAAATTTTTTACGTTCAAGACGTTCCATTACTATTGAAGCGCGATCTAAATATAACCTAGTTTTACAAAATGATAATTTGAGTACCACAAACGGTAAGAATGTAGTTGACAATGAAATATCTGCTACTGTTTCAGTATCTCCTTCAACATTAGAGTAAACTTCTAAGTTTATTAGTAAACGGCAAGTGATATATCAAATGTTGTCTGAGGTTGGTGGAATCAATATAAATCGAAAACAAGAAAAAAATAAATCAAGACAAATATTTCCCATGTAAAAAAAAACGACAAAAGAAATCTGATTTTAATCGTTTTTTACTCAGAAAAAATCGATAAAAAACGATTACAATTGCATGATTTCAATCATTTTTAATCGATTTTTGTTGCTATGACTATTAAACACGTTTTTCTTTAGTTTTAACTTATAAACTTCATTTTTCGATTATTTTTTCTGACGCCTTGAATCGACAAATGATAAGCTTAGTACTAGCTCTATCTTTCATACACTTCCACATACGACACCAATTCATACTTACCCATGTAAGCCAAAACGTCGATAAATTAGATTAAAATTATTAATTATTAAAAATGATTTAAATCATGCCATTTTTATCGGCTCTTAGTATTAAAAAAACGATTAAAATCAGACTTTTTTTGTCATTTTTTTACATGGATTCAAAGAAATTGGTTTAGATATAAATATCACAATGATATATGTTTTCGACAAAATATCATTGCCAATGTAGCTCTTAGGATTCGGAACAAATATCAGAATAATAAGGAATTTGTTGAGAATCATAACACAATAAGATCATGACTCCTTTGAAGATGGCTACAGTTCAATAGTCTCATACTAGTGGGCAAAGTATCGACTCAGAAGTTTCTAGTCAACTAGGGCTTAACAATATTTTTAGTCATAGGAAAATGTAGCATATCTTTATTAACAGAAATCTATTTGTACATACACTAACTTCTGTTTTAATGTAGTATTAGATCTAGTTTCATTTTGTTCTGTTCTATTCTAATAAAAGGGTAAATGTACGAAAGTATCAGAATCTCATTTGTTTTGTTTTACTACGTCGTGTTTTGTAAAATGATAATCAGACGAAAGAAATAATATTTTCTTGAAGACTATAAAAAGTTACCTGATCATGTAAAAACTTAACTAAATAATTGTCATTAATTTTGATTAAAAACTAGTAAAACAATGAGCGATAAATGTTACATTTTAATCGCATACTGATGATTATTAATCTAATGAATTATATTGTGTAGTTTTTTTTAATAGAAAATAATTGATTACACATTGTTATTTTCAAGTAATTGACTAGTTTTTGTTTATCCTATAGATTGTTTTTAGTGTGGGAAGTACTTTTTACACAAAATTCGTGTATTCCATTGATCTTACTATGCCGAAGAAAATGATGTTGACTCGGTATGTTCTCTAGGAAAACTTGATTTTGAGAGAAATACAATTAACCCAAAATATTTCCTCTTCAATATTGCCAATCATTTATTCTTCAAAAGAATAGTTATAAACTCTTACATCTGTACGACGATTTGAGGTAAATATGGTTCATCCTCTCAAAAAGTTTTAGTAATAAGTGATCTACATATATTTTGTGTAGATAATTTATTTCATTATGGCTGTATGAAATGGTTTCATTTCCTATGAAAGTCTTGAAAATAATATTTCTTTCATCGTTCTATATAAATACGAAGGTTTTTCGTTTGGAAAATATTCGATAAAGGATACTCGAACATATTCGTTTAAGGCGAAGTTTTTAAATTTGTAAAGGCAAAGTAGACTCTTTGTTGAGCAAAATTATTTCAACAAAAACATCTTTATTTAATAAAACAACGTTGTTTACTATTTTCATGATTTTGTTAACTTAACAATAGTTTTATATTTCATATTTCAATTTTTTTTAAAGGTTATATATTTTTATTTTTACAAAAAATCCAAAAATGGATTATCCGTTTTGAAATATGACTAATGATGGATCGAAAATGGCCTATTCAGTCCATTGAGCATCTTTCAATAAATCTTAATCTGTCGAATCTCTAAACAATATTCCTATATGTTCAGTGTGAGTGTAAGTTCGATACGAACTTGAATGTCAAAATTGATACTCTATTCAAGCAAACATGAAATTTTCGTTCAATTAAAATAAGTTGCAATTGTTCTAAGAGAATGAAGTTGATAACTCTCAATACTATCTGTTTGAAATAATCTCGTCGTATCAAACATCTTGGTATTCATATCACGTATGTAAATGACGTCATATTGATATTGAAGTGAACAGCATATTTATAAAAAATTACATTTTGACCCCTCTATGACGGAGATAATTTCGCGAACAAGATCAGTAGATGGTTCTCGCTCACATTTATACGAAAGTAATCCTTCTGAGTGTACGTGAAGACAAGAGTCACAGTCATATCCATCCACACCCACACAAGAGTCTTGTAGGGTAACATTTTTTCGTACCCTCGTCCTTCCCTTTTCTATAAATTTTGTTTCATAAACCCTACCATACCGTTAGATTTCTATATTTTGATAGGTGTCAATGGGAAGATTTCTTACTATATTTCAGCATATGTTACTGATTTTCAATGATTATTAAATAAAAAATTATTGCATACTTCAAAAGTTTCGTAAAAATATAATAATATTAACAATGGTATTGTTTAAGTTTTGTTTTCTCTATCCTGAAAATTTCCTATTTTCGCTAAAAGTATATTCACTTGTGGCGGAACCAGCCGACACTCCTAATAGCCATTTTCAATATTCCAGATTATGTATAGTTCAATAAACATTTGTCTCACTAGTTCAATACTGATTCTTCATTCCCGAGACTTTATTTTTTCTGAACATAAGCACTGACTTCTTCTGAACGAAACAAATATCAAAAGCGTCTTTGTAGTTGCTTGCCACAAGATTCTTACCAATATAAACAATATCCTTATTCTATCAGTAATTTTTGCTGTACTATTCTTACTCTAGCCTATCCTAACATATCTTATCCTATCCTATAAAATAGGATAGGGAAGGGTTCGCTAGGGCTACTTTGTAGAGCTCTAACTCAGATTGACATCCACACTCTCCAAAAAAATATATTGGTCTCGAGATCGGAACCATGTTGCTCATATCTAATTCTAATAATTGTATTAAAGCTCATAAATATTTTGTCTACTTTATCGCCACTTACTCTACTCAGTTGCCATTGGTTCTCATACAAACAATGTTCGTCAATGCAAATATATACTCAAATATGTGTACATCAAACAATTTATTTATCCAATATTGGCGAATGTGTTAACTAAAGAATGAACTGTTTATCAAATCAAGGTATGTGATTACTTCATAAAATCAAAACTTATTTTAAATTCCTTCTCTATGAAAGATATTATTGAACTACTCGATTTACCAGATGAAATGATCTTGACCATAATGAACAAAATCACACCTCAAGTGTTATTACTGTGTTCTATTATTAATGTTGGAAATCATCGTTTGGAACGTCTTGCTCTTGATAAATGTCATTCAATTGATTTAACTTTTGATTATGAATATTATCAGTGTTTTATCTAGGACTTTTTAGTATGTTAAATCTCAGCTTCAGAGCATGGGACCTTGATGAAACTTATGGAGGGTGATATTGGAGCTAAATGATGAGGTTTTATCAAAA